CTCCCTCTTCCACTCTCTCCCTCTTTCCACCCCTCACCCTCTTCCACTTTCTCCCTCTTTCCACCCCTCTCCCACTCTCTCCCTCTTTTTCATTCAATACTTTTCTCTTCCATCAAATCTTTGTGGTGTAGGAGGGCTGTAGTGAGGGTAGTACATGTCCAGACCTGTAGTGTGGGAGGGTTGTAATAGGGTAGTACATGTCCAGACCTATGGTGTGGGAGGGTTGTAGTGAGAGTGACAAATGCTCAAGCAGCAAAAGCAACTGTTCCACATGTACATGACAGGACTCCCTACGTTCATCCCATACAACCTAGTTTATCTAGAAAAATTTACCATTCTCAACCATTACACATTAAATACGAGTTAATCATACAAGCATAAAATAAACATACACAAAACATTAACAAATCTTAAAAAAAAAAAAAAAAAATGAATATACTCAGGCTTGGATCAGAATTCATAAAAATTGAAATGCCTCCTAAGTGCACTCTTTGCAAATGGGGACATTCAAAACTTGGTCATTCACAGCTTGAAGACCCCCTGTATATTCATTTATTTAAAAGCCACTTGTTCACTATCTGAAGCACTGTATGTCAGGCAGAGTGTTGCGGTTTTGCTGTTAAACAAACGTGTTTGCACATGCCAGGCAGTGAAAGGTGTTGCAACTCTGCTGGTAAACAAAACAAATGTGTTGACACCCAGGCAGAGAAGAATATTGCAACTTTGTTGGTAAACAAACATGTTTACACATGCCAGACAGAGAAGAGTGTTGCAACTTTGTTGGTAAACAAATGTATTTATACCCTGGCAGAGAAGTGTTGCAACAGCAGTAGGCATCCTAAATATGCATGTGCATAAGTATGCTTTTAGTAGCATTTTGCCTGACAGTTTTGAGAAGTGTCAGGGAAACTTTTGCCATCCTGCCAAAGACATAAAAGACTGGATAAATTATTGTTAAATTCCATACTTTAAAGAATGGACTTGTAACTCACTGGACTTAACAGAGAACATTTGGAGCCTTATTAACCCTTTCACTGTTGTAATCCCCAAAATTAAAAGTGCTGACAATGTCTCGATTTAAAAAAATCTACTGAAATGGCAGAGAATCTTTTTCTGAAGGTAAGGACACAAAAAATGCATAATGCACTTTTACTCAATTTGAATCCTATTTTAAGTAAATTCCAATGATCATTTGATCTAAGTCCTACCTATTTTGCTAATATGTTTTCTGTTCTATTGAGCATAGAAACCACTCCTTCAACTATCAGAATTCCAGTCACTAAAGGAACCTTTCCTCTGTTCATAATTACATCCCCAGGCCACTCCTATATAACACTAGCCATCCATTATGAATCCTTCATCACATAAATAAGTCAAAGTTTACCCTATTTCTTGGATAATAAAATATAACCAAGAATAAATGGTCATGATTTAGGCCATCCCAATAATTGAAGCAGTTCTTAATAAAATCACATAAAATGAACTTGGGGGATGGCCCAGAGGGACCTTACCTTTCATTAAGAAAAATCCCCTAATTAAAGCTACTTCACTAGTGTGCCTTCCATTCTCTCAAAACAGGCAATAAAACCAGAAAACCACCCTAGAAAAAACTCAACATTGCTATTTTAAACCAAAAACAAGGTCAGAGGTTTATTTTTTTGGTATCATGCATTGTGTGGGGCAAGATTTGTTTTTATACTATGCACTCCACACTGCACAAACTCATTCTCACATGTAGAAAACAAAATTTATCGATCATAACACATGTGAGGGCAGTGCTTATAAAGTAGATCTACATGAGCAACAATGACATCAATGATGTGATCTACATGAGACAGTGAAAGGGTTAAGTGTAAGATTTATGGCATGGACGTGTTCTCTATCTCCAAACTCTTGAGTGCCATTAAGCAGGTGTGGGAGGGTACTGGCTCTTCTATCCTCCATAATTTAGCCTTATCAGTAAAGAACAAAAAGGCACAATACTGTGACTGGAACAGAACACAAATAACCCAAACATAGGAGAGAGGGGCTTACGATGATGTTTCGGTCTGACTTAGACTATCTACGAAGTCACACTGTGACTTTGTAAATAGTCCAAGTCAGACCAAAACATCATTGTAAACTCCTCTCTCATATGTGTGGGTTATTTGTGTACAGCCTTTTTAGTGCCTAGGAGACTTAAGGAGTAGATCAAGATTAAAGGTAATCCTACAAAATGCTAATGTGGCTGAGTAACCCACGTACATTTCAGTATTTTACTTTCAAAAATATTTGTTGCTGAGTGCTCTTATTATCTGTGTGTGTGTTTATGCATGTTCATATTTATGGTGCCTACTGTATGTTGGTAAACAAATGTTTACACATGCCAGGGGAGAAAAGTGTTGCAACTTTGCTGGTAAACAAAAGTGTTTACACACAGCAGTTTCTGTCTACCACTCTGAGTTATTTTTACTCTTTTTTTCTTATTTTTTTTCTGTTACTTAGTACTGTAACTTTATTTAAAAAGGTCATAAGACCTACTTTGTAACATGGGAGCCAAAATTATCTAAGTAATCCATTAATTCTTTAACAGGGCATGAAACAGTACACTACAAGTAGCTCTATTTTCATGTGGGCAACCTTGTTGAGGACAGGGATAAAATATTCAGAGTACTATGACTGAAAGGTGATTCAGTATTTGATTCATTAGATGACATTCATATATTCACACCACAGAATATACATTAAAACCACAACACAAAACAACAGGTTATAACAGGTTAAAAAGAACACCATCCCATAAAAATTCCATCAAATCAATCATGCTAAAAGTATTACTTCAAAGGTCACTCAAGTCTCTACACACCCTGGTGATTATAAAATTCATGATAAAATTGTAAGGCCAAAATCTAGGATATGTGATTAAAATATGTCTAAAAAAAAAAAACATGATCTCATGTCCTCCCTGTTGTTGGTGTTACGAAATCTTCCTTATTAATTCTTTTGTATCTTTTCATACTCTTATTCTGAGGTGAGGCACTGGGCACCTATTAGCACAACTTGCACAACAGCACAAAAATACTGCTTCTCTAGACCCCAGGAAGGTGTATCACACTTACACTTACTATAAGCCTCCTTTCCTCTCTATTCATACATTGTTATGTCACCTGCAGACATCAGCTCTAGTGACCCTTCGAGACACCAGTTTAGTTGCCAACCAAACCATGTGCTAGACACCTTTTCTGCCAGTTCATCTACCCAGCACCAGGGCAAGCCTGTATTTGGTATATCACTGTGCCCCTCTAGGATTTCTGAATATGATGGCCATTCATTCTGCTTGGCAGTCAGCTTACCAGGTGCTATACTCACAGAATTACCCCAATCCTCCAGGTCTCCTTCCTGGGGGTCTTTTATATTTTGACCTTCTTCAGGTTCCTGATGCACTGTGATCCATCTGGCCATCTGTTCTTTTCTGGCAGTCAGATAGCTCAAGTGAGAACACTACCACACCCATCTGACTTCTTCTAAAAGGCTACTGAAAAGTCCTAACAAGTTCTTATTGTCTTGTTAGGGCTACCATTATTTTCTGATAACTCAGAGGCCATCTCTTGCCAAGGCAGGGTGACTCCAAGAAGAAAATACTTTCACCAACATTCACTCAATGGCTGTCTTTCCAGAAGTGTACTAACTAGTCAATCAGATTATCCTTCAGAGTACAAGCACTGCCCTTCCCTCCTCCAGAACTCAAGTATGTCCCTCAATCCCACACCCAATCCCAACACCCTAGCATCTATTTCTTTAACAACCCCATCTATAAATATGTTAAATCACCATGGTGACATCACGCATCCCTGGTTAAGATTTACCTTCATTGGGACATAGTCTCCTTCCCTCCTATATACCCTAAGCTGAATCTCACTCTCTGCATCAAAACTCTTAACTAATTTTAGTAACATACCTCCTATTCCATAAACTTGCAACTCTCAGAGAGCTCTCCTATCCACCCTACTAAATACCTTTTTCACGTCCACAAATGCAACAAACAATTCCTTACCCTTATCAGTATTGCCTTTATTAAAATTTGGGAGGTTTTTTCCTGATACTTAGTATTCTGCTGAGATATTTATGCAGGGCCCTCAATAAAGTTTCCACTTACTGTGTGGATGTCCATCCTACTATAACGAGGTCTATAAAAAGATTTGGCATAAAGATATGGAGTACTATGCCTATTGTACTGGACAGGAAAGTCACGCAAAACTAGGTCAGATTGACATCATCAGGCGATAGTCTATACTTTGTTTTATGTCTTGCTATTAACAGTTAATGCTTATATTTGATTCTGGTTTGATAGAAAAATTTTGATTTGTCTACTGACACAGTGTAATTATGTTTAGCTGATGAGAGTCATGGCTGCACCATGTGCATTCACTATCTACTACTGTACTCAGTGACTTAGTTACTATCATTGTGCATTTTTATGTAATTAAGAAACTTATGTTATGAAGCCACAAAACATAGCTATTATGTTACATACAGTATTGCATATAAATAGTATTTTTTCCCATCAGAGTAACCAACTGTCTGGATTATCTTACATACTCCTGGTCACATGGTGATCGGATAATAGGACCTATACTGCATTAACGTATATAAAGCAAAACTAAAACACTATGGCACATAAACAAAATCAAACCAACTTTTTAACTGTAAATAAATGCTTTAAAATTCCTGTGCTAAACACTCAAATATTTCCATTGTGGATGTCTTTCATAATAAAACAAGTGTTGTACTGTACCTCCAAAAATATCTTCCAGCTCATTGGCAAGAGAGCTAATGTTAGGTTAGGTTAGGTTAACTGCATAACAAAAATTTAAGTGTTATTTTTGCATGGTGACTACTTATTAATATAGTAAGTCACTTTAGTTTCTATTATTACATAGTTTCTCTGCATAAAGTGTACCATAGTATTTTATGGTTGTACAAGTGCACGCATCTTTCACTAAGACATTGGTGGTACTCACATGAGAAAAGTTAGGGACGGATGCAGTCTTCCTCATGAGTGGACGGCCGGCGGACTGAAGTAACTCCTTCACGGCTACATTCTGCCGTAACCTGTCCAGCATTAAGATGGACTCCACCGATGTCACGCCTTTTGTGTATTTCTCTGTTAAATTTGTTTTGCTTTAATCAGGGCAAAAACTAATACACTCCAAAAGTATAAAGTTTTAAAAATATGTAAACAAGACACAAATCAAGTGATAATATTAAACCCCAAAATGTAATGCTGTATAATACAATAATTTATAAATAATTTCGAAAAATCTAATATAGAAGACACTTATTACATTATGTACCCACATACAGCATATATCCAAGAAAGTTTCCAAAACAGTAGGCATCTTTTCCAAAGTAAGGTACTATGTACCCCAAATGGCACTACTTACACTATACTACTCTCTAATCTACCCTTACCTCACCTATGGTATTTGTGCTTGGGGATCGACCATGGCCAATCACCTCTGTAATTAGTATTTTATTTGTAAACCACACATTGTAACCAATATCCTATAATATTTAAACCATGTATTGTAATCTTTATAGAGAATAAACTTGATTGATTGACTGATTGAGTGATTGATTAAATCTTTAACCCTTTGACTGTTTTGGTTGTATATATGTATATGTCTTACGCGCCACTGTTTCAGACGTATTAATACGTGTAAATTCTAGCGGCTTCAAATCAAGCAGGACAAAGTTAGTAGGCCCACATGTGAGAGAATGGGTCTGTGTGGTCAGTGTGCACCACATAAAAAAAATCCTGCAGCACACAGTACATAATGAGAAAAAAAAAAACTCTGACCGTTTTTTTTGGATTAAAATGCAGACTTTGAGGTGTATTTTCGTATAGTAATTATCAGTGTATTCTCGTTTTCATGGTCTCATTTTACAGAATGGAAGACATATTACAGAAATAGGGATGATTTTGATTGATTTCACAATGTAAACGACATTGAAATTGAGCTCAAAGTAGCAGAAATGTTTGATTTTTACCAATGTTCAGGAGTAAGCAAATCACACCACACATCCAATACACGTCAACTGGGGAGTCTAATATTCTTTCTCTAATTCACTGATATTATTTATACCATTTTTACAATAATGCATTAGTCTGCATAACAGTAAATTTTGTATTTTTTGTATGAATAAAAAATCAAAATAGAAAGCAAAAGTAATATAAGAGGGGCCTAGAGATGTGACTAATGAACAGAGGATATGTTATATTAGTGCCAAGAATGTCTACATTGTTTATTCTGGACCCTATTTTGAAATTGGCATCTTTTTTAATTTGCATGAAATTGGCCAAATTTCCAATTTCTGACCACTTTATTGGGTAGTTCAAATCGGTAAATGGGCAGTTTCTTGTACTCAACTGAAAGAAAAAATGGAGTTCTAAAGAAATAGCTAGGAGTTTGGTCAAGTGGAACAATGGAATAGGACAAAAACAGGGCTCAAAGTCGGCGAAATTGCCGATGCTTATATGTCGCCGAGACCGCTAACTTCGAGGGAGCGTAATTCCGTGAATTTTCAACCAAATTTAGTACTTTTGGTGTCATTACCATCGGGAAAAGATTCTCTATCATTTCATAAGAAAACATTTTTTTTTTCCCAAAAATTTTGCGACATAGAATGACAGTTTCAGAAAGGAGCTTGCGACAGTCAAAGGGTTAATAACCCAACAAAAAGCTGCTGTGAAGATAATCACCAACTCCTGTGCCAGACAACTCACTCCACCACTCTTCAAGAGCTTGAACTTATGTAACATACAAAATATGCACTCATATTACAGTGGACCCCCGCATACCGTACGCATCGCATACCGTACAATCCGCATACCGCTCGCTTTTTTCACAAAAATTTTGCCTCGCATACCGCCCAAAAACCCGCTCACCGCTCTTCGTCCGAGACACGTCCAATGTGCGCCCTTAGCCAGCCTCACATGTTCCGCCGGTGGCATTGTTTACCAGCCAGCCTCCGCGGTAGCATCCAAGCATACAATCGGAACATTTCGTATTATTACAGTGTTTTTGGTGATTTTTTCTGGAAAATAAGTGACCATGGGCCCCAAGAACGCTTCTAGTGCCAACCCTACAGCAATAAGGGTGAGAATTACTATAGAGATGAAGAAAAAGATCATTGATAAGTATGAAAGTGGAGTGCGTGTCTCCGAGCTGGCCAGGTTGTATAATAAACCCCAATCAACCATCGCTACTACTGTATTGGTGGTACAGCTGCTGCTGCTGCTGTACCACCGTCAGCTGCTGCTGCACTGTCAGCTCCTGCTGCACTGTCAGCTGCTGCTGCTGCTGTAGCATCGTCTGCTGCTGCTGTAGCATCGTCTGCTGCTGCTGCTGCTGTACCACCGTCTGCTGCTGCTGTAGCATCGTCTGCTGCTGCTGCTGCTGTACCACCGTCTGCTGCTGCTGTAGCATCATCTGCTGCTGCTGTAGCATCGTCTGCTGCTGCTGCTGCTGCTGTACCACCGTCTGCTGCTGCTGTAGCATCGTCTGCTGCTGCTGCTGCTGTACCACCGTCTGCTGCTGCTGTAGCATCATCTGCTGCTGCTGTAGCATCGTCTGCTGCTGCTGTAGCACTATCAGCTGCTGCTGCTGCTGCTGTAGCACCGTTGTTGGTGTGGCTTATTGAGAATACCAAGAAACAATTAACCCCAAAGGATTTTCCACCCAGGATAACCCAAAAAAGTCAGTGTCATCTAACTTATTTCCATTGGGGTCCTTAATCTTGTCTCCCAGGATGCAACCCACACCAGTCGACTAACACCCAGGTGAACAGGGAAAAATGCCTGGAACTAGTGCTCATATTGGTGAATTTAAAGCCAGCAAAGGTTGGTTAGAGAGATTTAAGAATCGTAGTGGCATACACAGTGTGATAAGGCATGTTCTGGAAGAAAATGCCAAACAGAACCTACAGTACTCATGAGGAAAAGGCACTCCCAGGACACAGTGTCTCATCAGTCATTGCTGCATCTTCAATAAGGTAAGTGTCATTTATTCTTCATTTAGTAGAGTAGTACATGCACAATATATATTGTGCATGTACTACTCTACTATTGTGCATGTATCCTTCTCTTTGTGTGTAGGAAAATGTATATTTCATGTGGTAAAAATTTTTTTTTCATACTTTTGGGTGTCTTGCACGGATTAATTTGATTTCCATTATTTCTCATGGGGAAAATTCATTCACATACCGACCATTTCGCATAACAATCAGCCCTCTTGCACGGATTAAAGTCGCTATGCGGGGGTCCACTGTACTGTGTCTATTGTATATTTATTATTTTTTATTAACACATCGGCCATTTCCCACCAAGGCAGGGTGGCCCGAAAAAAAAAAAACTTTCATCATCATTTACTCCATCACTGTCTTGCCAGAGGCATGCCTACACTACAGTTATAAAACTGCAACATTAACACCCCTCCTTCAGAGTGCAGATGCTGTACTTCCTATCTCCTGGACTCGAGTCCGGCCTGCCGGTTTCCCTGAATCCCTTCATAAACGTTACCTTGCTTACACTCCAACAGCATGTCAGGTCCTAAAAACCATTTGTCTCCATTCGCTCCTGTCTAACATGCTCACGCACGCTTGCTGGAAGTTCAACCCCTCGCACACAAAACCTCCTTCACAACCTCCCTCCAACCCTTCTCAGGCCAACCCATACCCCGTCTTCCCTACACTACAGATTTGTATGCTTGCAAAGTCATTCTATTTCGTTCCAGCCTCTCTACATGTTTAAACAACCTCAATAACTCCTCCTCAGACCTCTGGATAATAGTTTTGGTAATCCCACACCTCCTTCTAATCTCCAAACTATGGATTCTCTGCATTATATTCACACCACACATTGCCTTCAGACATGATATCTCCACTGCCTCTAGCCTTCTCCTTGTTGCAACATTCACAACCCATGCCTCACACCCATACAAGAGCATTGGTATAACTATACTCTCATAGATTCCCCTCTTTGCTTTCATGGATAAAATTCTTTGTCTCCACAGACTCCTCAGCGCACCACTCACCTTTTTCCCCTCATCAATTCCATGATTCACCTCATCCTTCATAGACCCATCTGCTGACACGTCCACTCCCAAATATCTAAACACATTCACCTCCTCCATACCCTCTCCCTCTAATCTGATATCCAATCTTCCGTTACCTAATTTTTTGGTTATCCTCATCACCTTACTCTTTCCTATGTTCACTTTTAACTTCCTTCTTTAACATACCCTACCAAACTCATCAACCAACTTCTCTTCAGAACCTCCCAAAAGCACAGTGCCATCAGCAAAGAGCAACTGTGATAACTCCCATTCGGTGTTAAATTCTTTAACCTTTAACCCCACACCTCTTGCCAACACCCGAGCATTCACTTCTCTTATTTATTTATTTATTTATTTATTTCCAATTTGAGCACACATACAGAGGTACAAAAAAATACAGATAAGAGCAGCATGCCAAAGCCACTTATACTATGCATAGCATTACGGGCTGGCTTAAAATTAACTTAAGATTAACTAAGCAATGATGAAATCAGTGATAAAACATTAATGTAAACAGATTACTATAAAGCACAAGTGAGTATTACAAAGACAGGTCATATGGTTGCTTGCATTGTTGTACATTCAGTCATATGAAGGATTCTGTTAGGTAGTGTATTTAAAAAATAATAAAGTTAGATTCGGTTTTAGGTTTAACATTTATGTGATATAATTGTGAGAAACATTTAAGATATACAATTTATAAGGTTCAGTTATTCAGTATTTATTTGGTTTTGGGTGAGTAAGTGATCTTTGAGAAGAGACTTGAATTTATAAACAGGTAGTTTCTTTTATATTTACAGGTAATGAATTCCAGATTTTAGGGCCTTTTATGTGCATTGAGTTTTTGCATAGTGTGAGATGGACACGAGGAACATCAAAGAGTGATCTGTGCCTTGTGTTATGGTCATGTGTTCTGTTGAGGTTGGCAAGGAGATGTTTGAGGGGAGGGTTAATATCAGAGTTAAGTGTTCTATGTATGTAATAGGTGCAGTAATAAGTATGGATGTTTTGTATGGTGAGTAGGTTTAGTGTATTGAATATTGGTGGA